TGCTCGAGTCCATCCCAAAATCCAAGATATATTAAGCAGCATGATAGACTTCGTATGCATGTATCATAAGATTCATAACCACTAAGCTTGACAAACCTTTGCCTAAATCATGTAGCCTTGAGTTTTGAAGTATTATTGCTTTGTGACTTTAGGACTTTAGGTGTATTACATGAGACAAGTATGTCATCTAACATGTTAAGCCAGAATAGACAGCAATCCAAAGAAAATAAAAATTCGATCTCCCAATAAATATTATTATTTTCTTTGCGTTACAAAACTATACCACCGAGTAGTAATAATCTAATGCATGGTAGTAAATTAGCAATCATGATTAATAATTGTGAACACAAAGTTGCAACCTTTTTTTTTTTTTTTCCTTTTTGTTCCTAATGTTTCAATTTACTTTGTACAAAAGAGTTTTAAATATCTATGCTTCTTTTTGTTCTTTTTCTTTTTGAGGAAGAAATATCTGAACTTCATGCTTTTGTGAAGGAAGGATCCTAGTATTTTCTCAAATCACATTTTTAATATTATCACATTGCAAAAATATTTAAAAATAATAATAGTCTTTTTCAGTAAAAAACAATTAATTATATGGGGAAGGTTTGACTGTGTGAAAGAGACCCCTCAATCATGCAATAGCTTAACTTAATAGCTCAATTTGCTATCTACCGTTGATAGTGAAAGATCTTTGGTTTACAGCTTTCAAATAATTTTGACAAATAGAGAAAAGTGGTTTACTTAATTCCTCTTTTTAATATTTGTTCTTTTTTTCAAAAACCAATTATATAGGATTGATTTTATAAACACTGTTGAAAAAGTTAATTTTGAGTCTATACATTCATTGAATGATGACACTTGTCATTCTTGTTGAATTTTATTTCTTCCAAACATCTGGTTATAGAATTTTTGAAGTGTGTTACTTTTGTTGGTAGTCACAACTTTCAAGATCAAAGTCACACCGACTTTTCAAATGTAACTAGCTAATTTAAGGGTTAGAGTGAATCCAAGCTGTTACATGTACCCTTTCCTTCAAAAAAAAAAAAAAAAATGTTGCATATACCCTAGCAGCTCTCGGGGGTTTAGAAGGGTGCTTACATAGACGCAATCACCAATTGTTCGGTCCAATAACCCAATCTGGTTTGTTCCGAAAAGCGTGTGTGACTAGACATCCCTAAAAACGTGTTGATACATACAATTTATTAATGTTACTTCGTATAAAAAAAGTTTTAAATAGTACCGTACTCTGTAAAACAATTGGGTGAATCAATATATTTCATTTAACATGTAATAATAATTTATGTTCATTTTATTCAAGCGATAAAACAAAAATTAAGCTTAAATAGTGGAAGAATAAATAATTTTTTTTTTTTTTTGACACAAGAATAATAAATACAAAACTGAGAAAGTAAAATCAAATCAACTATGAATGAGTGCACCTAAATGTCATGGCATAATTTGCAACTGAAATTAGAGCAATGTAATTAAAGGTCAGAAGTATAAGGAATATTAGTTATGTAATTAATGTAGCACTTATAATTATATTACTAATCATATCACTAAAATTATACTCAATGGCTAGCTTCACCCTTTTCATTTTAGTCAAGTGTAAGACTTTACTTGGAATCTCATTGTCAATTTTAAGGATTTAAAAATAACGTAATTTGAAAAATTAAATAAATAGTGACTAAATTTGAGCAGACAATATATAATCCTTATTCCTTAACAAAGGTAGACAAAAAAACGCAAGAACAAAGATCCTCTTATATAATTTACTCCAACATAACAACAATCCATTGAAGGAGAACATTTTCAAATTTTGACTAGATTCCATAATCTTTCTTGATTGGTGATTATTAATTTCAATGGTGACCTTTTTCTCCTCCATGCATCTACTTGCTCTTTTGGTCATAATTACTTAATTAATAATGAATTATGGTTAATAAAATTAGCTAGTGACCGAGTTGCGGTGCACTTTTAATAAGTTGCGCACACAATTAATCACATGACGCGAATGCTTTTGGACTAGCATCACCAAACTACTTGAATTGTGATGCAATAGTTGGTATCTTCTTTCCATAAATAGATTTTTAAAAAAAATAAAAAAAAATACTAACTAACTTTGATTGATTGATTTATAGGGTGTATTTAGCATAACTTCCACTCCATTTCGTTTTACTTTTCCACTTCATGCTTTGTGTGCTTAATTACCTCATTTTTGAAACGATTTTTAACAACTCAAGTCATGTTGTGGTATGGGTTTGTGTGCATCCAATGAATCTATTTGTGCAATTATGTAGATGACCATGAGTATTGGTATACGGTATTCTTGTATTAAATGAAATATATTTACGTGTGATTTTGTTAAATTTATATTGTCTTGATATTTAACTTTAAAACAAATTTCAAACTAATATATACAGTAAAATTCATGCCTGTCAGTCTCTTCTTTTTTATCATAGGTGTATAGTCTATAAAGAGCCAATTAGCGATGTAGATGAGATCCAATCTCATTTCAATGTTTTATTTACTATCACTACACATCTTACCTTCAGGGGGTGTTTGGTAAGAAATATGGAAATGTAATGGAAAGGATTTTGATAAGAAGGGGAAACGGTAATCAAAAGTGTTACTTTTATTTATTGTTTGGTATTATTATTATTTATTTATTGAAGTAGGAGAGCTAGCTTTGTTGGAAACGGTAATTGTTTCCTTGGGTGTTTGAGCGGAAACGAATTGGAGTTATTTGTTACCACAAAGTAATGGTATTTGTTTCCCCACATCACAAACCAAACAGCAAGTAACAACAACTGTTACATGAATCCGTTTCTTTGATTGAAAAATGCCATACCAAACACCCTCTTAAAGTTGTGTCTAGCCACTAGATCGTCTATCTAATTGTATAGTTGTCGATCTTTATAAAGAACAATTGTACCCTAGTACATTTTCTGCCCCTTTGACTTGAAATTACTATTCTCTCCGTCACTTTTCTATAGATATATTTCTATTTTGGACATTTCCTGGCTTTGGTTACAAATTCTAATTACTCCATATAATTTTACACTTACCTCATATTTAACTACATTTAATGCAACTAGCTATTTCTATTTAGCTACCTCGTACAAAAATATTCATATAATCCCGAATCATCTACTCGTATTCTCATTTACTAAAATATTAATCTATTCCCATTTACATAATATTTGTCTACTCTTAAAACATAAACTCGCAGGCCATTTACCTACGCCGAAAGTATTTTTCTTAATACTTGTGAAAAAAAAACCCAAACGTAAGCATAGAAAAGAAACGGATCGGAGAGAGTACCAATAAAATGTATGGTGTGAATTCAGGAGGAAAACTTGAGAATCTTTGTGCTAATTATTAATTAATTTGGTACTTTATGATCTACTGTAATCTAGAAAGATTAAATCAACGTTAATCGTGCAGATTATATTAATGCATGAACTCAACAGTGACTAAACATTAGCATATACGATTTTCAAAGTTGTACATGAGCCTTTCTTTAAGCTTAAAGTTGCGGTATTTTTGGACCTACGCTGAATTTCATACTTTTGCATCATTGACTATTCTAGTGCTAGTAAATTAAAGGTGCCACATAAATACTAATTAAGGTTTAATTGTTTAACCAATGTATGATAGTACTTAGTTCATTTTAAGAGAATATGCTTGAAGACTTGAAGTCTAGTCTAATTGTTTTGATATTTTTTATCCTACTTAAAGATGATCTATGTAATATAGCTTTAAAGTTAACTAGCTAAAGGTTTTCTTTTGAAAACATAAAGTAATGCATTGCAAGTAGTTGTATATTATGTATCATAATACTATAATGACATGCACACATATATAATATTGGCTTACATGTTTTTCTTTATTATGCATATTGATTCCATTATTGTAAGTATCTAATAAATTAAATTTAGGGAATAATTGTCTATTAGGAATGAAAATGACATAATTATGTTTTTTCAATTTGTTATTGAATGAAACAAGCAAGGAGACTGATTAACATATAAGACCAATGAGATATTTCACTCATCACCTCATCTATTAGCCTGGTTTTTTATATGAAACCCTATTGATCATGTATATTATCAAACTCTCTTTCAAAATGCAATCGGCTTGTGTATTAAACAAATTAAAGAAGAGTTTATTCACTGATTTGATCGACGAATGCATGATAAAAAAAATTCTATAATGGTTCAACATCAGAATTTTAAGTATGTCTTTTTATTGTTGAATATTTGTCCATCAATTTTGTTGAAGTTTCATTTTCTTATTTATGGACAATATCATGTCTTTTGCACTTAAATAGTTTTATTTCTCTAAATCTTAGCTTCTTAACAACTTTCTCTTTTAGATCAATTGAACAACTATCATTATTGCTTGAAAAAAAATGATAAACAAAAAGAGATTGTACAAAATTCAGATATTTAACCAAGCTATTTAAGTAACACATCGAACAAAGGACAAATTTCAAATTAGTCATCCAACTCAAATATACACTTTAAAATTAAAAAAACATAATGATGAATTATTTGTTGGTAAAATCCTTAATATGTTCCCTTTTTTGCCCTTTTTTGTGGCTAAAATATTTGATTACATGAAAGTTACACCTAAATGAAACACGTACATAACTTTGTTGAGCCACCAAATGCTACAAGATACATTGAAAATAGCAGCCATGCATATTGAAAGCTTACAAATTACAGCTTAATTAACAAATAATTTGAATGAGCTTATATTAATTAAATTAATTAAATACTAACTACCATATTAATTGGTGAGAGTTTCTCTAGGTAATCAACATGAAAGAGATCATTAGAGTGTTGAAAGTTTAGTCAAGTAATAAAACAAAAATAAATTACCAAACTTTGATAACAAGAATTTAAGATTGTTGAGAGTAAGATTTATTTCACTTTATAATTTTTCATATGGCTTTCAATTAACGCTTAATTCACGTACTAAAAGAATGAAAAATATATCAAAGCTAAGATTTTTTTTGGGGGGGCAAATGATAGTTTCAATTGAATTAAGAAGTGCTTGGTAGTTGGTACAAGTACAATAAAGTCTACATAAAAATAATTATATTTACTACTAAAATGAAATCTATCTACCCCCTATAACTTCTTGTAATGAAATTATTAACCTAGTTAGAGAAATACATGGAAAATTAAATAAAAAAAGTACATTGAAATAAAATCTAGAAACATCATAAAATATACATCAAATAAATAATTTTAGCCTCCCTATATTTTCTCCTCCATTTTTTCCAAACACATCCATGTCACCTTTTGTTTCCTTTTATTGCTCCCTTTATATTCCATTTGTGATTAATGGACCCACCAACATTTTTTATGCATCATCTTTCATCAACATAGCATATATAGTGTGGACACCCAAGATACTTAGCATGCACCTTCTCCACGTGGCGCATTGCCATTGGTCGCTTTCCCATTAATTTCCTTAACAATATTGTTATCAACCTCATTATTATTATTATTGTTGTTGTTCACCTCAACCATCTCCTCTACAATAACTTCAATAGCTTCAGCTGGCCTATTTTGTTGCTCATTTTGCTCAATTTTCTCAACTTTTCCAAGCTTTATATCAACAGCTAACTCTTGAAGTTGCATGATATCTGTTTCTTTTATCATGAGATCTCCATTGTTGTTGTTTAGCTTCTTCTTTGAATCCTTGTATATGATGTATAGTATCATTTGTACAATCCCAAAGGCAAACCCAAGGATGTTCGGCAACTGCAATAGATAACAACATTTCAAATAAATATCAGTTGTCACGTTAATAGTTCAAAATATATATAATATATTTTATATGTTTATATATATGTTGTTAACGTAATGATTAATTCTAGATGTTAAGAGTACTAAAATGGGAAAATATCATTAGAATGGATAAAGTTACTTACAGCAATGTAGAAGTCCTTAATGAGTAATCCATAAAAGAACCACATAATCGCACAAAGTGTGAGGGAAAATGATAGCCAAAATGGCATGAATTCTACACTCTTTGTCTTTATCACCATTCTCTGCAATTATTGCCATCAAAAGAAACATTATCAGTCAATATTCAATAATCATACATGCCTTAGATTTTTTTTTTTTTTTTTTTTTTTTTTTTGTAGTGAATAAAAATTACGTACCATAACACTAAGAGGAGCAGCAAAGACACAAACGGAGAAGATGCCACAGATCCATCCAACAACGCTTTCACGCATACCGCCTTTTGACAACATGTTGTGCTCATCCAATCCATGAGCAAACACCATGGTTGTAAGCACTATAAGCCCAAAAAACCCTACATTGAATAGTCCCAACAACTTGAATGTGTACACCTATACAAAATAAACCATTCATTAGAAAATGTTACAATTTTTGTAACTCGTGATACTCTCTCTGTCTCTAAAATTTCATGTTGTTACAGAACTTTCAGACATGGAGTTAGTATTTCATATGAATAAGATCGAGAATGAATTTGTGTAAGTACCTTGGCTTTTTTAGGAGCGTAAATGAGGTAGATAATGAGATAGGAGCCTTCAATAGCACAACCAATGGTGTTGATAGTAATGATCATAAAACCATTCTTTTCCTTAATGAAGGCATAGTACAACAATAGCATGGCACTAAATAGTGCAACTGAATATGGTATGGATTGAAACCCTAGTGTTGATTTCTTCTTGAATATCCTCCAAAATGTTGGCCTATATATACCCAAAAAAAACAAATAACATTAATCAAATATAATAAATAAACCAAGTCATATATATAGTACAACATATAAACTAATAAACATTATACTACTCCTTCCGTCTAGATTCATTTGTTACACTGTAGTCAGTTCTGACAATGATCAATTACAGTGTGAATCAACGTGACTATTAATTCTCGACAGAGTGAGTTGAGAGACGGGAGGACTTACAATGGAGCCAAGTAGACCCCAAAGGAAACAATGTTTCCAAGGATGCCAAAAAGAACGGATAATTCATGGAGTTGAGCAGCTGAGAATGCCATTTCAATAAGCTCAACCTTAGCTCCTTTTCTAATTAATGTGATTAGGGAATAGTAATTGTAATTAAGAAGAGGAGCTAAGGAGAGAAAAACTAGCTTAAAAAGCTAGAGAGAGAAAGATCTAGAGAGAGAAGAGCTTATTATGGCAACTGTGGCAAGAAAGAGTATGGAAGCATTGGTATTTATAGGAAGAATGACAAACGTATTGATGGCGTGTAAAAGAGAGAAAATGGAGAAATGTTTTTTTATTTTCTTTTTTTAATAATTGAATTTATTTAGTTATTAATACTTTAAAGCAATTTTTATTTTGTTGTATAGTAATGCAAAACAGCTCAACTAGCATGCATTAGCAATTAGCATTACATGGTAATTATTGTTGATTGTTTAATTTAACTTTTGATTGGTTTTATTAACTTTGCTTGCTTAACTAGCTTATGTTATTTAGCAACTTTCTCACGGAGGTTCCACGAATGATAGAGCTACTTAGTGGGTAATTCATCGTTTTACCTATATGCTAGGCATAGTTAATTAGTATTGAATGTAACTACGTTGGATTACACTTTTCGATTTGTAAGTAGATGTTTTCACGTTGAAAAAGTAATTACCAATCGAGTAAAATAATTTAATGACTGATGATATATCTACTTGGTGGTAATTTTATCATTTTACTTGTGTATCGCCGGTATATATATGCTAGGCATAATTAGTATTGAATGTAACTAGTATGGAATGTAACTGAATTGCATTGCACTATTTCGTTTTCTGAATAAGTATTGTCACGCGGTCACGTTAAATAAGTGATTACCGAATGGCAAGAATAACGGTTTTATGTTTTTATTTATCTCTTTAGAGACAAGCATTTTCTTTCTAGGCTGTAAGCAATAGGAGAAGTAAACGTACCAATCAAATACAGCTTCGTACTTTTAAAAATAAATTGACACTAGCTTTAATTGTAGTCCCTTGATTTAATTTTAATTTGTTACTATAGCTCCTTTAATTTTCTCGAGCATATGTTCTACGGTTTACGAATTCTCACTTTTAAGCGAGTTGATATTTGAGCTTGGACCAACAACACAGCTAGCACCTACTAACTTGTAATTCGGGTCTCCCAAAAACAAATAAAAATAAAAATATCTCCCGATATATTTTTAACGAACTCATAATAATTCTTCATTTATTTGTTGTATTTTGGTAGATTGGTATGATTTTATGGCAATATGGCTATATATAGCTGTCTTTTTTTAAAAAAAATAAAATAATAAATTAAATTGTTGCAAAATTAACTTTTTCTTCTACTACAATAATTTTTTTTTTACAAGAATTTGAAATCATTTCCCTTTATTAGACCTCATTATATATGAGTATACAATAAAACTTATTTGTAAATCCTATAAAACTTTGTGAACATATGTAGCAGAATTAATTTTCTCGTTGATATTTGAACTCAGAGAGTTTTTATGTGAATGTATCAAAACTTATTTTTATAATTATATCGTAATTGTATTTGTCTAATTTATTTCTGAACTTATGTTTGTGGAAATTTATACTAAGACTAATAAGACAATAAAAATTAAACACCATATTATATACTTAATCCGTTAATTAGAAACGTGCATGGTAGATTTTTCTGGCCTTTTATATATTAGAAGGATTATAATTTAGAATGACAAAATAGAATCATACAATGTTAGAATGTAAGAATACACCGGCCAAAACCATTTGATGTACTTAATAACTATTTTAAAGTTAGAAGGATCTACTATACTTGTAATTCAATTAATTTAGAATGTTATGTTCCCCTATATTTTGTATTATCTATTTATATGACTAGTACCCCAAATATATTAGTTACTAGAGTGATTACGTGTATTAGCAATAGCATAGATATTTTCAATTTATATAGAAAAATAACTTTGATAATCAAACCATTATACATCGTACTCCGTACTTCTAATCTTCTACTATTGTAATTGAGCAGAAAACTAAATTTAGGACTTCGAGTACCTTTTTTTTTTTTTTTTGGAAGCTGAATATGAATATTCAAAGTGATAATTATTTTCTTTAATTGTATCTTGGATATAAATTTAATTCAAAGGAAATACACTAAAACATTTTATGAAAAAGTATATTTCTTGAAAGAAATTAGAATAATTTTGTATATAAAAAACAATGGAATCTGAAAAGTTGGGACACAGGGCCACAAGGCAGGGCACAAAAGAAACAAGAAGCAGGGTGTTTTGTAATTTGACAGCTAGCTTTCTCAGAGGTTATCGGACTTGAAAGAAAGAATGGGCTAATTGCTCAACTTCAGTAACTAACCACTGATTTATTTACTGTATTTTTATTTAATTGAAGGGAAACACTGATTAATTTAAATTATTTAATTCAATCGAAATTACAGTTTTTTTTTTTTTTAAAGGAAATCGAAATTACAATCAAATGTATTTAATTAATAAGATCCCTGAACCATTTTTTTTTTAAGGGAATCAATCCATTCACTTCTTCGATTACTACCCCAAGCCGACTTTCTTATTTTCGGAGATGAAACCAGACAACATCATAAATATCAAGTATTATTTGATCTAATTTTAAGGACTCTATATTCTACTCCATATTAATTAAATGCAAGTCCATGCAACATCTTATCCTTTTCCCCCATTTTTAAACTTTAAGTGCAATAAACAACACAAACTTTAAGTGCAATAAACAACACAAACTTTGGAGGTTAGGTGCGATAATTAACATAAATGATTTCCGTTGCCGAAAATTTCACTAGATTGCGACAATTGTCAAAAAATAAAATTAACCCCTTCCCTTCACGTGTCTACTATAGTACTATATACTCCCTCCATTTTTAAATACTTGCTTCACTTTCCTTTTTCGTCTGTTTTTAAATACTTGCTGCATTTTCTTTTTTGGAAATCTTTTACAATATTAAATTCATTTCTTATACTGGTGGACCCAACATAATTCTCTCTCCTCCTATTCTTCCACTACTTTTGCTTTTTACAATTTTTTATTTTCTCAACTACCCCACTACCTCCATATTTTATTACTTTCTCCGATTTCTCCTAAAATTCCGCGCATGGAGAAATGGAGCAAGTATTTAAAAACGGAGGGAGTATAATATTTGTGATTGGGATTTGTCCAAAACTATCACACCAAACCTAAAATTACCCATAAGTCAATCAAAATAATCATACAAAACCCTAATATGCATGTCTTCTCCATTATTTGTATCAAAACTTACTAAGGGTCTGTTTTGATTGAGCTGAACTGAACTGAACTTATTGGAGCTTAACTGAACTGAATTGAACTGAATATTTTATGAGAGAAGGAAATTAAAAACTGAACTGAACTGGATATTTTATGAGAGAAGGAAATTAAGAACTGAACTGGACCTGAACTGAACTTAATAGAGCTAAGCTAAGCTGAACTGAACTGAACTGAAAATAATCTGAAGAGAACAGGTCTTGAAGGAAAGAATGGTTGAGAGTCTTTGTCTTCGACCTTCAACTTAGTCTTCAAAGAATATAGTCTTTGGCCTCGTCTTATATATATATATATATATATATATATATATATATATATATATATATATATATATATATATATATATATATGAATGGTAACTTACCATCATCTAATTCATAGAGCATAATCGATTATCAAGTTTAGTGAATGTAGAAGTAATTTAAATTTCATTGAAAAAAAAATAGCCGGAGACCAGAAATCATTTATGTCATTTACCACACCCAATTCCCAAAATTTGTGTTGTTTATTGTTCCACTTAAAGTTCGTGAGGTTGAACGCACCCAAGCAATAATTTGTGTTGTTCTATCCAATATTGCCAAAATTAAAAATAACTATAAAGGCCGGGCCGAATTAAAGCGATAGAATACTACTGTAGAATACTAGTACAATCAAGCATGCCATGCATGAACTCAAACACTTCTTGCTAGCTACCCAATCTTACATAAACCTTGCTTTAGTTTCACCATTTAAATAATAAAATAATTATAACACGCACATTTGCAACACGGTTTAAGGGACTGTTCTCTTACGTTCAAATTCAGTTCAGTTCAATTCAGTTCAGCTCAATTCAGTTCAGTTCAGTTCAGCTCAATTCAGTTCAGTTCAGTTCAGTTCAACTCCTAATTTCCTTCTCTTATAAAATATTCAGTTCAGTTCAGTTCAGTTCAGTTCAGTTCAGCTCAGCTCAGCTCAGCTCAGCTCAGTTCAGTTCAGTTCAGTTCAGCTCAATTCAGTTCAGTTCAGTTCAGCTGAGTTCAGTCAATGAGAACAAGCCCTAAATTAATTTTTTTTTATAATTAGTTTTATGGAAAAAGAGGTTACTCTTATTAACGTATACGTGTATAAGTATTATATATTTAATTCTCAAAATAAAAAAGAATTTACTCGAACCAACCGATATTTTTTTTTTTTATGATTAATTGATAATACTCATATAATGAATCACAAACCAAATATGGTCACACACACCATACATTTTTCAATAATCTTCCTCTCAAGAATTTTGGAAAGGTGGAGAGAGTAGTGCACCATGTATCCAACTTCTAAAGGAATTGGAGATTAGAGGATTAGGATTTGGACTAGTCATTTATTTATTTGAATAATGTTGAAGCCAATATTTAATTTAATTGTTATTCTCATTCTAATAATTGAGTTTGAAAGAATTGGACTTCAAAATAAGAAAGGGAAATATGAAATCACCACTTTAAAACTTATAATGGCCACATCAAAATGCATGGCACCATCACAATTACTAATGGACGACGCAACCCTAGCCTCCCTACGTTCTTGTAATATTATCTCTCTAATATCTCAAACAAAATTCTGAAAATACAACCTTTAATTAGCTAGAATTTTTATAAACACATATTATATTTTCATTCACACATGTCTTAATCGATATGAGCACTCATTTGTACACAAACACTAACAAGAAAATTCTAATTTTTACCATATTATTCAAATCATGATATATTTGGTGTGCACATAAAAGCCCTTACTAAAATTGTTATTGTAGATATTTTTTGTAATTAGAAGTACATATTGCACCTTTAGACCTAATTTTATATTTTCAAATTAAAATCATGTTAAGATATTTTATATATTACTTATGTTCTTATTATGTGCAACAAAGTTATATTTTATGTCTCACAAATAATACTTATTGTTGTACATAATAAGAAACAAAGGTAGTATTTTAAATTAACTTACTAGAGAATATTGTTCAAGGAAATGTATAGTAAAATACTACATAGAAGCTACGGCTTGGGTGCAGTGATTACTAAATCGTGCTTTGTTTTCTAAAACAGCAATTTAAGAATGAATATGATTCTAAATAACTAATTATAAAGTAACACTTTTCAGGGCTTGACTTAGTATTGAAATTACTCA